AATAAGAAGTATTACCACAGGTGGTTTGGATATAAGATGCAGGGAGGGAACTATTCCACTCTCCATTGCTGGAGCAGCATGTGCTTTGGGGCATTACACCTCAAGAAAGATTTTGGGAGAGTCCAAAATAGAAGAATGGTGAAGAAGCAAACTGTATATGGATCTCTAGAGATATGTATTTGCAGAAAATCCAGATGCAAAATAAAGATTTTGGTATACAGTGGCAATGGACCACTTACAGATGCTCACGTGTTAAGAGCAAGACTTTCTGGAGAAACTTGAAGATACTTACAGGATCTATGGCATTTGTCACCTGAGTCTCTCCTTGCAGAGTACCAAAAGCAAAGCTCATGTGAGTAAGGAAAACGGAAGCTCATTTCCAGGGCTTAATATGATTACAGGAAAAAGGGGGTCTGCCCCAGAAATGCTAGAATGACTAAGAATGATAAATTTAGTTTATAAAGTGAAAACAATTGTCAAATATGAAGAAAACAATTAGGCTGCAGCGGCACTAGAAAATATTGGCAACAAAGAAATTAATTGTTAGAAATACAAAGCTGGGCAGTCGTGCAGTGAAAATTCACTCCCAATTCTATAAAATGCAGAGCATCAGGTTAAAAGATAATAGCTTAGAGGTTTAGCAAACAACTTTGTAGCCTTGTTGAGATCTCAGCAATATCAAACAGAAACAAAAATGGGAATGGCTGGTAGAATACAGATGTGCCACACACAGTAGGGGAAGCACCAGTTTGATCATTAGCGAAGATATGTTAATGACTAAAAGAAATGGGATCCAAAACTGAACAGTCATTAGGTCTGAAAGGAAGAAAATCATTGGGGACATTCATCATTACAAAGCCAGGGAAATGTGAATTTAAAATTGGTCCTTTAGAGTTTGACCAAGAAGTCTAGATTCCCAAGACACGTTTTATCATAATTAATATCTGTGTAATAAATGGATGTTTTACAAATTTAGAGAGCAGAGGGTTTGTTTGTTTTAAACCACGTGGCCGCATAAAACAGAAAAGATGTAGCCCAGTAGTTCCTAAATGCAGTAAGCCATATGCCATAGTATTTAATATTTCTTGCAGCTGACTGCCACAGCCTTATGGATGTCAGATAATGCAAGATACTTTCAGCTAAGGCAAAAGGTGGAGAACAAGCTGTCCTTTTGCCTCCAGAGGCAGCAGCAGTGCCACATCACGGTACTGTCACAAGCAAAAAGGGGATAATGGCTTAGACGCATCAATATACTAATTCTCAAAACAAGTTTCCATTTTACTTGCTACAGTTTTTGTGGGTCTGAAACAAAAAATGTCTTCTGTTTATTTGCTGACCATTTCTGGGAAATATAAGTAGTAGGAAGAAGAGTCACGGTGGTAAAATGCAAGGAAATGGATCTAATGCACTCTGATGCAAGACAAAATAACCCACTAACCTTTGAAAGGGAAGGATGTAAAAACAAGCTCCTAGAGTTTCTTTTACATTTGTTCTGACACACTGCTAAATTTAGATTTTAAACATCCCTTTTGTGTCATTCACAGTCCTATATGAGAAGTAAAGCACCAGATCCCAAGAAACTAAATGAGTTCAGCATCAAGAGTACCAGTGCCTGGGTACCACCTCTTTGTGGGAGCAGGTTCAGGCTGGCTTTCTACACTGGATCTTAAAAACTAGGTAATGATAAATCTCAGCAGATCCAAGGGACAAGGAAAAGACTGCTTTTACAACAGCAGATGGCTTAAGCCAACACAAAATAACTTCAGAATACACAAAGGCTCTTGGAGGTTAACAAGATGTCAGGCTTTTATCAGCCCGACTTCTAGCACACACTAAAACCTTTGAACATGACCAAATCCATTTACAGAAAGCCTAAGATGAATGCTGCCAATCTGGAAATCAATAAAAAGAAATGAGAGCTATTCCAGAAAGGTTGTAGTGAGGTGGGTGCTGGTCTCTTCTGTCAGGTGGCTGGAGATAGGACGAGAGGAAATGGCCTCAAGTTGAGGCAAGGGAGATTTAGGTTAGATATTAGGAAAAAGTTTTTTACTGAGAGGGTTGTCAAACATTGGAATGGGCTGCCCAGGGAAGTGGTTGAGTCACCATCCCTGGAGATATTCAAAAAGCGAGTGGACAGGGTACTTCAGGACATGGTTTAGTGGGCATGGTTAATGGTTGGACTCGATGATCTTGAAGGTCTTTTCCAACCTAAATGATTCTATGAACTAATATACCTTGCACACATAATCAGAGAGAATTCCTACAATAAGAAGCTGAACTAGTGCATACGCTGGCCAGCTGCCCAGACTGCTACAGAGTTTTGCACCATTACACAACATTTTTTGTGGGTTCATCAACACTCCAAAGTCAGCAGAAACACAAGGCAAGAAGGGGGAAACACTTTGGGGGTCAGCAGAATGAGATCCAGCACCATCAGTATTAAATGGCTTGCATTTCTATTCTGATTTCAAAACCCTTTTCACCATGCTATCAGTTGGGCTTGTAAGCATGGTGCCGCTTCCAAAAAAGATTTAAGTTTTCCAGGAATCTTCACTGTACGACCCCAAAAAAATCCTAGAAAAGGTTACAATCTGCAGAGCTTTTGATCTCCATTTGGAATACAGCAAGTTTAGAGCGAGCACAGGGCACTGAATCCTGGCAACATTTCTTTACTGAGGAGCATCTTGCCACGCAATTGGAAACTGGAAATGCTGTGCTTCCACCGTGACATACAAGCCTGGGCAAAACCACGGTAATGTTGGTGGCATAGCAATGACTTGGGACCAGGAGTTGGCCACAGAATTGGTTTTAAGGGGTGGAGCACTCTTCAGAGGAGATGATTGTCTCCTCTTGTTCCACCACTTGAAGAAATACAGACATTTCCAGTGGGAGCAAGCTTGCAGAAAGGGACTTTCAAGTAGATACAAACTTCTGATAACTGGAGACCGAGTATCAGTGTTTTCTGTGACTACAAAAGTCACACAGCAAACACAGTCTGCTTTTAGAATACTAGAGAAGAAAAAAAGGATGGGGTATGGAGTGCATAAAACCTTCACACAGGAATGATAGTCCAAATAACTGGTCAGACCTGGGACTCAACTCTAAGGTCAGCCTAAAAATGTGCAATGGGATTTTGGCATGACCATGTCCTAAACCTCAGGGAACACTTTAGGGCACGGCTAGGGAAATGGGGACAGTTATGTGCTGGGCTGCAGGTTTTCCAGATTCAAGATGTGGCCCCTGGGCTTGTTATAAGGAGCCTTTCCATGGGGATATGAAAAAAATTAATGAACATTTAGATGAATATATAACTTCTGTGTAAACATGTAAATAGTTAAAAGTGTCATTTACAATCTATTATGCATTTCCTTTCTGATTGAATGAGTTGCTCTGGATACCACCATCTTCAGTAGAGTGGGAAAAAATTAATTAGGGATGTTGTTAGAGGCTGGGTTGCAGCTATATTAAAATGATAAAAATGAACTAGTGTCCTTCAATTTAAAAAAAAAAAAAAAAAAAAAGAAAAAAGGTAACCACACAAGCAAGAGCGTTATCACTGGCTATTTATTTCACTTTCAGGGGTGACTATTTTTGCTTTAATTTTCCTGAGTTACTATTTGCTTAGTGAAGATGGTCATTAGCAACTGCAGTAACTGTACTTTTTATCATGTCTCTGAGTTTAGTGAAGGCACTAATTTCCATTGGGAATTTTAAGGTGAGTTTGGAAATGGAAGCCACTCCTACAAAGTGAAAAGTTATTCCGAGAAAAGCTAACATACTGAAGCCAAGACAACAGATCCAACAGATAGGGAGGGCATAGCTCCCTGCAGAAGTCCGTGGGCTTTTTATCCAAAGGACATTCAAGCATTCTGCAAGACAGGTCCAGCTACCTTGCAACTTTGCCCAGAGTCAGCAGTCATTTAAAATATAAAGGTTTCTAGCCTGGAAAGTAGCATGCATTGAATCTACCTGACCCAGGGAAATTTAAGTTGAAAAACCAGCACAGAGAAATTGGAGCTGTCCTAGTGTGGTTTCTACTTCAAAATTCACGCACAGTCAGCACAGCCAATGCTGTTCAGGTGCTCTGTCTGCTGGCAGCGCTGAGCAGGAAGAAAGAACAATTTCATCCTGAAGGTCGGATCTGTCTACTGTGCGTGATCTCTCACTCACCAGAAAAGATGGACAGCGGCTAGACTTTGGAGGTAAAAGAAACCAGTGGTATTTTACTAGTCAGCTACAGGGTAATGGCATTTGCACAGCATTAGAAATTTATCAGCATTCTGACAGGACTTGTCAGCATCCTGAGCAGTAAACTGAAATGTGCTTCTGAAGGACAGCTCTTTCAAGGTCTAAAAAGGCATAGAGCTGGGAATCTTACAGATGTACGAGAAGTAAAACAAAAAGTTAGAGCACTAGTAGGACAGAGTTCTGGAAAAGAAAGGAAAGCAGGTCATGTAAAGCTCTTTAGAAGCAAATACCCAAATGTGTTGTTTATGTAGTTACTTATGTGCTGTTTGCCTTGGGGAGATAAACGTACCCACCTTTCATGAGAACCATTGAAAGGACAGGGAGAAAAAGAAGGAGAAAAAAAATGCAATACATAGGATAATTAAATCAGCTTTGCAAAGAAGTCTCACTCTGTATGCCATTCCCTGCCACCAACACCACCCTCATTTTTTCACTCAGTACCACATCTGTAGGTCTCAGGCATATAGATCAGGACATGCCAAAACCATGAGTTCAATTCAAGTGAGTTCCACAAGATACAGACATTTCTGCAGGTTTGCTTGCAGCATCACTGCCATACCTTTCCCTTTCAAGACCAAAACCTAGGTCAGGTTATCTGAATTATTTACATGGCTTTTGGCTAGACAACTCACATGGCCGAGAAACTGCCCCAAGGCTATTGAAAAAGCAACGCACCTTCAACCACATTTAGCATATTCTGGAGACCATTTTCCACCACATTTTAAATATTTTTCCCACTTACAATTTCTTACCTGAAGAGTTTTGACTTTTCCTAAAACGTTCTCCTGTGACATTGCTTGGATGGCCTGTTCACTCTCTGTTCTCCCATCAGGTATAAAAATACTGTCATGGGAGAAAGCTCGACTGCCCATAGAATAATGGGAGGACCTGGAAAAAAGCAGTTAAAAAGTAAATAAGCACAGCAATTAATTTATGAGAGTGACCCTTCATATCATAGCTGCCCTGCTGTATAGATTTTCCTTCCCTCTTGCCTTCTACATAAAAGCTTTGAATATTCTTAGAAGAGTGGTATCCAAACATGTTCTGTTATCAAAAGTTTAACAGAGGTACACGATTCCCTCACACACAGTTTTCCTTCTTGGAAGGACATAGAGTGGGGTGTTTTTCACAGGCATGTTGAGAAGTTCAATCAATTTTCCTTAGAAATCTCAAATCTAAATGTTACTTTTAGGATACGGAGCAGATGATGATGACGCATACATTACAGACTGCATATTTAAGAAAGCCTGCATTCGTGCTTAGTCCCAATGCTTGGGACCTGCTGCCATTCTTAGCCAAAGACAGACAGCAGCTCCCAAGCAAAGGTAGCTCTATGACACAAAGAGAAATCATACACTCTAGTAACCTACTTATAAAGAGTTACCTCATTTAGCTGATTACTTAGCTGTTCCTATCACCACAAGTATGACCACACTGACAATAAAATGTTATCATCAACCCCCTGAACTGCTAAGAAGCCTATTACACCAACCCGTGTGGGTTTGATTAGCAACAAAGAGCGAGAGATGCCCGTGCGTTACCGTTAAACTAGATTACCGACACCAAGGAGGAGTGCGTCATGAACGACCTAGTTATATGGCTCTGCTCTAAATCCACGGGTAAAGGGATTAAACAAAAAGTGGTTTCAGCTACCAGAAATTTTAAAGAGTCATCAAGAAAACTGAGAATAAAAGAAGGTTTGTGGGTTGTTACTTTGGGTTTTGGGGGCATTCTGGGGGAAAAAAAAGTTTGAGTTTGAAAGCCATGTTTTGTCTCGCCTAGAATATTTCATGGTGAGCGGAAAGCCAGTAAAATACAGACTTGATAAAAGCCACAGTAGAAGAAAATGGAGAGGTGTTAGATCTCTCCTTTTAATAACTATTGGCAACCTATGGAACCCATTTATAGCTTCAGTAAACAAACAATCTGGAGAAAAAAATTAGATACTTTTTATACCAATCTAACAAACACAACCTTCTACATGTGAGAAAAACATTATAAACAAATACTTCAGCAGAAGCAAGGAAGATGATACTTCCAGAGAGAGGGGTAAGTAAAACAAGAAAAATTAAAGCCTCACGTATTTAAGAAAATCAGTGTATTATCTTTTTGTCCCCTTTAAAATATGCTAATTGTTTATAAAGTGTTCAAGATACTTCTATGCATACTTTGGGGGAAAAAAAGTTTGGAATGTATTTATTACATTTTCATCTCATTTTTTGCTCAGGTATGAACACAATCTTTTTAAGTAAAAACAGTAACATTTTCTTACCAAGGAAGAATGTTATATAGGGTTACATTAACCTTTTATAACTGATTAAATGATAGGCTATTCTTGACTTTTATAACAAAATTTCTTACAGGTAACCTGAAAATAGTAGGAAAATAGCCCCCCCACAACCTCTCCATCTCTCTAGTTTATATATAAATACATGTACACTCACAAAATCATCAATCCAAGCTTTTGGGGAGAACACACAGAGCTCTCTACATCATTTCACTCTCCCTGCAATCATAGACTAGCTGAAAAACTATTTTTTATCCAGAATTAGTATTTGAACAATATGCTTCATTTGAAACAAACCAGCACACAATCAAGCAAAGAGCTGGTCAGTATTTCACAGCATTTTTAGCCATGAAAGAGGAGGAACATTTAACTGAAGCTATATTCTATTTTAGAATTTATTTTTTTTAAATAAAAACCACAACTTGATTGCCTTTGGCTGCTAAGGGTAATACACCTTCTTTTAGAAACCTTTTATTAGAGAAACCATGAAAGTATATTTTTAAACCCTCTTCTAAAAAGGTTTCTATACCAAAGTGTCATGACTCAGCCTGTACACAGAGCTGTGGTAAAATTACGTGGTGCTGGAATATATCTACCATCCTTGGCTGTCCAGGAGTCAGCCCAGGAGCCACAGTTTTGAGAAATGCCCCTTAAACAGAGACAAATTCCTAGCAGGCCTGGCTTGCAAAATGAGTGGTTTGACATGAAGTTGAGTGAAAGTTGGCTGTTTTCATATAACCATGTAAGTCTGTTTGAACTGAAAGCTCCAGCATTGCATTCAACAAGGCGGGGGAAAAAAGTCTGTATTCACAACCAAAACTAAGGGGAACGTGCAAAATTTGACAAACCAGCCCATGCCAACCTGTCCTGCATTCACATGGTTCAATATGTGAAACTGCTGCAGGTGCAGAAGGCAAGGCCAGTGGGAACTTATTGTTTACTATTTACCTTTGAGCTGAGAGATCTGCTGAGGATGCATAATCCAGGTAATACTGTGCTCCAGAGAGGATCCTCTCAAAGATTTTTCCAGCAGTACTGTGGCTCAGATAGTTGTGGCTTTGCCTCACAGCTATTCACCATGCATATGACACCATCCTCCCCTTGTACTGTCCAGTGGGTTGGCGTTCTCATACTTAAAATTAGACAGCTCATGTTTATTCCTATAGTTTGTTACAACTAATTAGTAGGCGAGGGTTGCAATTCAGGCACCAAAGAGTTCAGTGACTTGTTTGCAAGTCATTCTTGACCTTACTAATGAATCTGTTAATATTTAAGTGGGGAACAGCCAACCTACAGCTTTTGAACTGAAGAGCGTTTCGTAGCAGTTCAAATCCCAAAACTTCAGCTGACCAGCAGCAGGGATGCTCTGGCAGTAGGAACTGCCTGTTAATCTGAGTCCCTGAAATGGAAGAAAAGATCAACTGCTGAGGTCAGTGCTGGTGGACTGCCTAGGACATGGCTGCAGATGAAGAACTTTCCCATCCTGCTACAGAGCTGAAGATACCTTCAGTGACCTAGTCTCACCTCCTGCCTGTGAACCCAATGAATCTCATGACTGTTTGAGATACACAGTACACCAGCTTTTGGCTATGTGCAGATCTGGGTTTATGGCTAGTGTGATCAGGCTTGTTAAAACGTCATTTAAAGCTTCCGTTGGGACACTGGGTCATATGAAACAGCTTGGAAACTTCACGTGACCTGCAATCGTAAGTACATCACCACTGAAAGTCCAACCCTATCTATCTTTGACAAGTGCCCGCAACAGTACTGCTGGCAGGTTAGGACCATGACAAGCACATACAGCACCTCTTTCTGACATTCTCCCATATGCCAACTGCTTTCAGTTAGGCACTTCCTCATTACATGGCATCACACATTTTTCTTTCATAGAGCTGAGGCCAAACATATTTGAAAGCTTTTGCCTGTTTTTGTTTTCTTATTAACTTGCTACCAAAACAAACATACTCCAAATTGTCAGAACACATGAAACATTCACAAGAAACCCCACAGTGAATTAACCCAAGACTTCTCTCTACTGTATCCCTTCAAAATGCTTTGCAGATATACTGGGTATTTCAGAACTGGGTGACTGAGCAATTTTGCTAGCCACACATCCAATAACTGGTAAAAATGTCTTAAGAATTTTGCTTAAATGTCTATGTAGGTTAAAGCACATTGGAAAAAACATATTCACACATTGTAGTAACCTCATTTCTTTTACAGGTGAGTTTAAATAGCATTTAAGGTGGCTTCCAGGCTACTTGAACTTTCTGGAAGGTCTCCTATTTTACTCACTTGGAGCCCACAATCCTTTCAAATCTTCCCAGCTGTGAGTTTGACATATTATATCACAAAGGTCCTTTTTCTACCTCTTTTTTCACTCTCCTCATGTTCTACTTTTGGAAAGACTGAATTTCTTTTAAGTCATAATACAGTCTGAATAATTGAGTTTCCTTCACTGCTACCACCATTCCCATTACTCAAGTTTTTCTCAGAAGCCTTTATACAATAACATCCTTAAAATCCATATCTACAGACTGTGCTTCTTAGCTTTCCCCTCAATTAAAAGGCATGTTGACATCAGGAATGGCTTTCGATAGATTCATGGTATGTCAGAGACCTGGGCTACAGTCATACCCATGGTTGAAGGTGTTGCAGTTTCAAACTGCCGTATCATTTCCAAGAGATGTGGGAAAATAGCGGCATCAGTTTATGAACACTTCTGTTGATAATACCGACAATGACACTTCAGAGGCTGTTTGTGCTGAAAATAATTGAATCATCATCTGACTCACTTCCAGAAACCTGACTAAATTAAATGAATTATGGATGTGCTATACCAAAATACAAAGCACTTTCAGCAAATCCTTAAAGATGTTCTCTCTGAAGATGTGTTGCAACCTAAGTATCATGTTCCAGTTTCAGTTCCAAGACACAGATTTTCAAAATTAATTTTCTCATACTTGAAGCAAAGTTAAATTCCATTCATTCATAGAGTTTTCTTTGCCACACCTGTGTCCCTCTTCAGAGTCCTGAAGACAGATTGGAATACTTGGTTTCTCAGCAAAACTAAGAAAATACTTTTCACCTTCTTTTATTAGAATGCAATTCTTAAGAACTACTACATTTTTGAGAATGTGTGAGGAGTTCTTTGATACACATAGGTTTTGGCACAAAGAGCGCACCAGGATATGTCTTTATCTTGAGGGTAGCCCAAGATCATAAAAGTACAGCAGAGCCAACCATCCCACAGGATTTTTACCAACAATGAAGCCAGCAGTGTCAAATGGGTGGGAAACAGAGCAAGACATGGAGTAAAAGGACCACACCACATCTTGACCAAGGACATGACATGGACTCCTAGCCCAGGTTTACTGTATTTAGCTGTAAAAAGAGTTGCCTCAAACACATCTCAACCCTAACTAGCTTTCTTCTGCACAAAATGAACGTTTCTCAGACTTGTTGTTTAACTCGGTGCTGATAAATTCATTCCCCTGGAAAGGGAGAACACTTTCTGTTGTATTTCAGACTTCTGGAAGAATCCCAGAAAACCTCAGGTAAAACCGATTGCATACATTAGAACTATGATACTTCCAATGTG